CTTCAAAAGGAAGATTTTCTTCAGCTACTCCAATTGCTTATGAGATGAGAGAATTTACTTTTTAGAGGGACAACCCTCTCAAGCTGTGGGAATCATAGCCTACTAACACAGATGACAGATGCAAGCAGAACCATCAACATCCCCAGCACAGTGCCTTAAAAGAGTGAACACCATTCTGTTCTTTTAAAAAATTATCATGGGAGTCTTTTACTGCTGGATTCAAACTGTGAAGACAAATGTCTGCAATTCAGGTTGAGGCAGCTCAGTGCCACGGGTTAGGATATTTACTGCCATTTTTTTTCCAAGAATATTCCCCAGTCAACGTGCTGACATTTCAGACCAGATGCTGAAGCTGTCCCATCTCCCATGAGTTGTACAGAGAGTCTCTGACACCATTTACAGGGCAGAGATTTCTACTTTGTGGGGGAACATCTAAAGCTGGATGAAGCCTCATTGAATTTTCAAGTTGTACCTCCATTACTGCCTGTAGCTTTTAATGTTCAGTTAATGGAGGGAAAAAATGTTTTCCTAGTTACTTAGAAGAGATTTGTCAGCTATAAAAGCACACGGGGACAACTGATAAAAAGGTAAATCCAAGAAAATGTACTTCAAATAGATTATGAGGCAACAAAGTCAACACAGGAGGACATGTCAGAGGGACAGCTCATATTTGCTAATGCCATACGTGTGAGCTGCTAAATCAGAGCTGCTGAATCTGGCGTAACAGATGAGTGTATCAGTTTCAATAAACACTGAGAAAGATTTTGTTTCATCTTTAACATCACACATTACAAAATCACCAATGGATATAACCAGGAGGGTACATGCTGATTCCTTAACAAACGCATCACCATTTTACATCAGCTTTGAGGGACTAAGTTGAATTTGGCTTTATTTCTTCTGCTTGTGGTGACACTGTAGCACTGAATACCAACACAGTGTTAGAGAAGAACCTTAGGGAAAAATAATGTTCAAAAACGCATCTTAGTAGAAAAAGATTTATCAGTAAGAACTGAAAGGAAGTGTGTCTTTCGTTCAGTTTTCAAGACTGATTTTTACATTTATCCACTTCCGCATACATCTTGGATCTAGGAAACAGTTATCCTGATAATATTATATGAACAGGACAACCTTTTATTTTTAAAAAAGAACTTACGGCAGCCTGAGAAATCATATAAAACTCAGTGCCACGGAATTCTAATTTTCAGATATTTAGCATCATATCTAAGCAATATTTCTACCACTTAAAAGTAACTCCAAAAAAATAGTCATATCTCATACATTCACACTAAACCCTTGGATGAAGATTATTTCATTTCAACAGTGCTGATCTCAAAAAGCAAATTTTACCTCACAGACTTTCAGTCTTCATTCTGTGACTCCTTATTACAATAGTAAAAGTTTTATGAACTCAAATGATGCTATTAAGAAGGGAAAATTAGCCGAAGCTTCTCTGGACTTATTCACAAGACCAGAATATTCACTTCTTTGTCCCATAAACTCTGGCTACACATGAAAATAAAACATTAAAGTGCTGGTCCAGAGCCAAGTTGCCCAAATACATAAAAGCTGCAAATAAACTACAAAGCAAGCTGCTGCTGGAAGACATTAGCACTGCCCATGTAAGGGATCCATGACACTGCTGCCCAGTGAAGAACTACAGCCATTACTAGCGGAACTAATCAACTTCTCCAGAAACATGTACAAGCCATGCCTTTAGAATAGAGTATCTTGACCTTTCAAGAGCCAGTATTTCACTTTCTAGTCATTGCCAACAACATGGAAAGAAGGAAAACTACTGTGGAAGTATTAAAGAAAGTTCAGCAATGCAACATCGGTCATCTGTCAAACCTTCACAGTCTCAGAGAAGGCCACTGACCAAAGACTGCCCTGGATATTCCAGTTACATACTCCATGGCCCCAGCACAAATAAAATGACCTCCATGTTGTTCCAGAAGATCTTTGTAGTGATTTCGATCCATTGGCCCACAGAAGAAGACAGTTTTCAAAGAACAGAAATAAATATATTGGAACATGTAATTTGGCTCTGGTAAAAATCACAGAGAGCAGTCAGTGTGGAGGAGGAGCTTCTCTCCTCTGCAGATGCCAGGAGTTTACACTCTCCCCTTTTCAGCATTTATATAGGAGCACCACCAAAACAGACAGAGAGGCAGCATATCCCCACATTCTAACTGTGTGATCATGATATTCAGCACTTTGTTGCTTTTTCTTTATAGCTTTCAACAAATACATAATTTTTATAATGACATAATAATTGGGTCACAAGTAGGAATAGGGCTGCACAACAGGGAAACAGAACACCTGCAGTCAAGCCTTCCACAAGCAGAGAGTTACTTTAGGGTGAAGTGAACTCAATGGGAGACGCTGATAGGGACTAGAAGAGCAGCCACCACTGGTGGTCAATCACTCTGAATGGTAGCATAAGGATTTAGATTTAGTAGCATTATCACAGTGCATGCTGCTTCTGCTGTATTTTGAAGGGATGCAGTCTCGACTGCTTTACTATGCTGTGTTGAAGTCAGTGTTATCTATGTGAGTAACGGCCAGATTAGTCCTTGATCTTAAGGTTGATGTATGTCTATTTTCTGAAGCCAAATAGTAGGCATTAAAATGCTCTCTCAGTCAAAAGGGATGCCAGCCCAGGAAAGCAAGCAGCAGAACATTATGTGCCCAACAAACTTTAGCAGCATGAACATGAGATGTCTAACAAATCTCAGGGATTTTGTTGGGATTGTTCACCTGGACCCAGGCTTAAATTCATCCCAGGTGGCACTTCTGGCAAATAAGCATTCATTATTTTTTAATCTGGCTCTGTGTTTCTTTCTCCTTTAAAACGATCCTGACAAACAATCTATATGTCTGTGACCTCCACCCTGGATTGCTATAACTCACTACGTGGTTGAAGATGAACGTGTGGGTGAAGTACGGGCTCCAGATGTGATTGCTCATCTTTTCCAGAGCTCACATCACTAAAGAGCAAAAGACCTGCATTCAAGACTCTTCAAAAGCTCCTAAGTTGTTTCTAAAGCAAAACCTATAAAGAACTAAGGCATTTTAGGTTATTCTATGATTCTATGACTTTAGGTTTTCCATTCCCACAATGTAATAGGTACCCTGTTTCAGTGCATAGAGGGAGAGTTCAGAGCCTTAGAACTCTAAACCAAGCAGGCTGGTTGCTGAAAATCCTGCAGTGCATTACACACTAGGACATATCTGCAAACCTCCAGGGTTTAAAGGTCTCTTAGAGCCCAAGTCAGGAATTCTTCTAGGGAGTTATGATATAGATGTCTAGAACTTTCAGAGAACTGAGCAGAGATAGCTCTTCTAATCTATACTCTATATGCTGCATAGATACTTTATTTGACACAGAAGTTGTGATAGCAGTGCAACCAACCACTTTTATTTAAGAAATTCATAGTTGGTTAGTTACTGAACAAGTGGACAATTCACTTCCCAAACTGGCCTACAATTAATGATCTCATCATCGTCTTGAAAGAAAAAAAAACACCTTTTCTGCTTTTTTCTTCGTCATCTTTCTGGTCTCAGGAATCCTGAATTCCTTCCTGGAGAGTGACACAAATTCAGATTGGTTAGGAAGTATATTCTTTTTCATCCCAGTGGTTAGATTCACTGGTTAGGGCATCCCCAAAGAAAGTGTATTTGAATCTCCGCAGGCTGATCTTTACCTCTCATCAGTGGTTTAGTCTGAATTTCAGGCCAATTTTTAAAAGGGGTTTGCAGAAAAACTACTTTTTTTTTCCCCAACAGTGACTTCACTTTCAATCTTCGAGGAGCTCAGTCTTGCTCACAGGATCTTGGATGCAAAACACTCAGCAGTCTGCATCAGAACTGGGCACTTTAGCCTAAAATGAGCTTATACTGTGTACACACAGAAACAGACTGAAAGGGGAAACTTTACTGATAAAAATATTGTTAAATATTCTGAAAGAATTCTGAAAAAATCTACACAAAATCAGTAACAGTACTGATGTTTCAAATTGAAAAATGACAATATTTTCATGGAGCATTTCAACAGTTTATAGATATAAGGCTTTTCTTTGCTTTTGTCAATTATAGATCTAAAAATGACAAAGCAGTTCACTAGCATCTTGCTGAACTAGGACATCTTAACAGTAAAGTATCACCATCACAGGAGCACAGAGAAATATTACAGATGCTTCTCACTGTGTAAGCAAGTCCAACTGAGTAGTAATATCCTCAGAAATTAATGGAAAATGTCAACTCATAGAACACAGAAGAAAAAGTCCAGTTGTTCAATGAGACCATGGACAAAATTTTTGCCCATTCTATATTACTACTACCCTGAATGACAGTTGAAAATCTTGCCAGTTTCTAATTGCTTAATATAATTAGGTTTTAATACAGTTGACAAAAAAAAAAAAAAAAAGCAACTACAACAAATTTAACATATGTAGCAAATAAGAAAATTTGCATCAGATTTGGAGGATCTGGAAGGCTGCCATTAACCATAAAGTCTTGGAACAAGATAAAGTCATCCATATATTTAACAGATGTTAAACAAAACACAGTAACAAAAGTGCTGTATCTAAAAATTTCTTACGGTGAATTCTGATCTGGATCTGTGTTCATAACAGAACTGAGTTGACAAACGAAAAATATAGACTCAGATAAATAAAACACATAAGAGAATGGCCACACACAATGTGGGATCTCATAAACTACTGCAAATGTTTGTATTGCTCTAAAAGTCATCTTGATTAAAAGTTAACTATGTATTCACTGTTTCCAACCAGTTCAACCGAATAAAACTCAAAAAACAAAATTCAACTTAAAGCATGATAAAATGACCTGCTGTTTATACAGTTTTCTCACCTGTATAAGTACCAAGCATAGCATTCTTTATGACAGTCATTTTTTTCATACTTATTTATAAGACAATTTTCAACAAGACACTACAGTATGGAAACTCTTTCCATAACAGAAAGTTATATCTGGTTTCTATTTTAGTTCTTTGCTGAAATGGTTTTCTTATATTTGGTTTCTTGATATATGTGTCCTTGGTCAAGGTAGATGACAAATGTAATTGCAAAGAAAATCCGTTTACTTGATAGTTCTAGAATTGAAGGAAGCTTGTGCAACCTTTGAATTCGTTTTCTTGTTCAAAGCTGTACAGATGAAGTTTCCAGCTTCCATCACGGCATAAAGATTGACTCCCTGAAAAATAGAAGTAAAAATCATTAATAATAATAAAAGCACACACACTGAAAATGCTTAAATGTCATCTTATTTTGCTCCAGGGTCTAATTTTTGGAAAGGGTCTGACTCATAAGTCATTAATGGAGCTCAGTAAAGTTGTGGTGACTTGCACAACAATCACAGCTTCCTGTTGGTGGGAAGTTCTACCACTATCAGGGTGATCTCTTACTCTAATGGTAGTGAACCAAATACTATAGTAATAAATTTTGAACACAAAAGAATCTGGAATAAAGAATCAGAATAATAACTAGAAGTTGGAAGAGAAATACATTGTCTAAATATGTGCTGCAATTGCTTATCATCAAGCGCTGAAAAACTTGATGTTTGTAAGTATTCCATCTGCATTTCAGGAAAATGGAGGAAATCTATTGGCAAATAACATCAGTGAGAAACAGGATTCTGCATTCTCTTGAACTTCTTGAAAAAGTTCCCCTCAGTGCAAAATTGCAGTTTACACTGATAACCCAACTGAGCAAAAACCTGCAGCTGCTAGATCGGTCCTAGCTAAAATGGTCTCTTGTGCAACTCATGTACACTTGAAGTTTTAGAGTTAGATTGTATAAATAATTCAAGCTCTTGCACCGAAGACTGAGAATTAGAAACCAGTAAAGCCAATAGAAGGGATGCAAAACAAGACATTCAACTGCCAATACACTAAGTAGCTACACAAAACTGGGAGTAGTGTGTCAGTCAGCACTAAAGAGTGCAAGACTTATTACACCAAAAAGACATTCTCACAATATTGCACTTTATACCAAAACCTCATTTAGTTGCTTAGAATTTTTAAAAGATACTTCCACGTTCTACACTAAAACTTAGTCTTTTATGCTCTTGGAGTTGGCTACAAATGTTAGTGAGTACAGGAAATACTTCACAAAAATGGAATCAAAACATTTTTAATTTGAAAAAAAAAAAAAAAAAAAGGCTAATTTCCAATAGCAATCAGCACCACCTCAAACTTATTGTTAATTTTCAAAGAGTTATAACAAGGGTAATTTCAGCTCATTCTGTTTTTATTTCATTGGTCATTACTCAGCTTTAGTTATTGTACATAACAGTCTCAAAATTCTTAAGAGCATCTGTGCTTTTTATTAGGAAGAAGCAAGGTACATTCCACCACAGACATACTTAGTGGTTCGGTTATGTAAGATGCCAAAATAAGAAAACAAAACTATAGAAAAATCACGTTTTCAGCACTGTAACACCGAATAACATGATACATGTTGATAAGGAACATATTTACATTTCATAATCACTAAATGGAACACAAGCATATCTGCCTTTTAAATTGTCACTCTTACGTGTCATGAACCCAAGTGGATTACAGTGAAGGCACAAATCCCAGCATCTAGAAGCATAGCTCACAGATGGAAGTAGGAAAAGAGCAGTGACAGATATTTGTAAGGTTGTTGAGTCAAAATAATGCCTTCAGATAGATGCTCAGACATGTACTCAGGTGTATTTGGTAAGCATTTCATATATTCAGAATTATTCCATGCTACCATGAAACACAGAAACAAGTTTCTCCAATAGCATCAATGAGCATGAAAAAGTTACTTCCATCAGAAAAGCATCTGCCAAAAAGCACAGTTCTTTAACTCTTGCTGAGTTCAATTAAGTGGTTCTCATTCAGCATTCATAAATACCAAGTCTATTATCTGTATGAACTTTGGTTTCATTGTCAGGATATGAGGGTAACAGTATTTAGTCACTTCTGAGAAAGGCTTATTGTTTGCTAACCAAACTTCAGAGGCATTGTAAGCACAAGTACTGTTTACTATAATTACACAGGAACCATACAGAAATTGTCTAAACTTTATAGGGCTCCTATAAAGTTTAGAATCATAGAATATCCCAAGTTGGACGGGATCCATTAGGATCACTGCATCCAACTCCTGGCTCCACAAAAGGACCACCCAAAAATCATACATCTGAGAGCGCTGTTCAAATGCTCCTTGAACTCTGTCAAGTTTGGTGCCATGACCCCATGACTGCTCTGAGGAGGTTTTTCCAGTGCCTAATCACCCCCAAGTGAAGAACCTTTTCCTGATATCCAGTCTGAACCTCCCCTGATGCAGTTCCATGCCTTTCCCTTGGGTTCTATCGCTGGTCAACAGAGAGTAGATTGACATCAGCCCATCTGCTCCCCTTCATGAGCATGAATGATCTATGACATTATTTTCTGTTCATTTACTATGGTACAACCAATCAGTTGTAGATAGACTGTGCTGTAAATTTCACATTTATCCTTCTAGAGATTTATTTCACGCATCATTTCTTGGTTAGGCAATGTGAAGAACAGTATATAGAAAATATTAATTATTATTCTGATGTATCTAGTCAATCTGAACACAGTAATATGCACTCAAATGTTGCCCATCCTTTGGCTGACACTTTACATGACTTTAGTCAACAAAACTAGTGCTTTAGTGCATCACTGAAAGGAACAAGAGAAGGAGCTCTGCAAATGGACGGCATTAGTAATTATAATTTCATTTTTATACCATCATACAAAAAGGGACATATTAATAGATTTTTTTCAGTGATTATTTTACCATGGTACAAAAACCAACAAAGACTGCAAAGAACAAAGCTCATATACTAAAATAAGAATTTTGAAACTCTGTCTACATCCACAGATTTGTCTCTCATCCAGTAAACCACTCTCTTTTTAATGGGCCAGAAAAGAGTCAAGAAGCAAAGCCTCATGCTTTGCTATTTCACAATTTAAACTTAAAAAAAAGAGCACGAAATGTTTGAGGATGAGATATTTATCTTCATGGGATTTGGCATTAGCCTTTAGAATAAGCTAGATTCCACATCATTCATAGACTAGTAAATCTTATCAACCAGACTGGAACAAGGTGCATTTCTTTCAGTTAGTATTTTCATTCAATTGATTTCTTTTGCTGGGAGTCAGTCGGAAAAGTCAGTGGGTATTCTCCCCAGACAAAGAATATTCTGAAAGACTTTTTAAGCGTACACAGCAATGTAAACTAAAATGCATGGTTTCTCCTCATTCAAACTGTTATTTTAAAAGAATGTGCACCTTCTTCATGAAAAGGTCACCCCAAATCACCTATGAACAATTCAAAACTGAGTCCACTTGTACAGACACTTGAGATTAAAACTTTTCTGAACAGGTATGCAACACCTAACCAGAACACCCTAAGAAGCACATGGAAGTAGATGATCATTACAGTGAACTCTGTAAGGCACAGAATATGATTTTACAATGCTTAGAGGATGTTAATTTCAGAAGGAAGTACCATGATCCTATTATGTCAAGCAATTCTGTTAGAAAGAATGCCATACTGAACTTCAATAGACAAATCCTTTAACTTAGATCTTTGCATGGCAGACGTCAGACTTCAAGCTCTTCTTGAAGTGTTTAAATGCAAGCCACAGACATTACAGTTTTGTCAGCTCCTTCTTGTCTAAGTTCAAGGTAAAATCATTGCATAGCTTAAATTAGTAAAAATTCATTATCATAGAATGATAGAATCACTCAGGTTGGAAAAGACCTTAAAGATCATCGAGTTCAAACAACACCTAACCAAACTATCTTACTTGAGGCAATAGAATGACTCTAAGCATTTGCTACTGTGCTCCTCATATCTCCAAGGTAGGGAAATAGGGGTTATTCAAATCCCTGCCAAATACAGTTCTGATCTAGATTGCTCACGAACATCATTCAAGTTTTGACAAGCCATGTTAAAACACTGACTTGGCAAAAAACTACCATTTGCTTCCAATATTTTACTGCATAGCATCATTGTTCAGTATGCTTTAAAGTCTTAAATATAAAGTCAAGATAACTTACTGTATTGATCCCCAGACCATTAAGCATATATACCACATCCTCTGTGGCCACATTTCCAGTAGCACCTTTTGCATAGGGACAGCCACCCAAACCTGCAACAGACGAATCCACTACAGCAACTCCCATCTGGAAAATAACAAACACAAAAATGCATCACTATCAACAAGTATTATTTGTAATTGTTAGTAAGTAGCAGATTATACACATTATTAACCATAGATAAATACACATCTCCACAAATGGAGGCATTCCTCAGAGGAAGTTTCTTACAACAGCCTTAGTCCTGACATCTTTATATGTAAAACTCTCCAAACACAGGATGTGGAACAGAGAACTTATGTGTGATTTTGGCAGATAACTGATTGCTGTTTTAGAGCCAACCACAGTTCTACGGTATCTTTCTCCTTACATCTCCACATTATTTTTAAGCCAGTATCTAGTCTGTAAAGGCTTTCTAATAACTAAACATAATCAATACATTATTCAAATATGTAATTTTAAGCATATGTACAAATCTTTGCAAGTTGGAACTTTTAATATTAGCATCTGATTTATATCATTTATTATTCAATGATTTTGGTACATAAATACTCTAAAATGTGTTTTGCCCTTCCACGAGGAGTGTCAGTAATAGCATTTTCTTTCCTCTAACTTTCTTCTGGTTTCTCTTACTGGAGGCAATGAAATCACCATGTTAACAACTCTTTCAACATTTTCTTAGTTTTTGGTTTAGATGAAGACTGAGATATTTTCACCAAGTTGAACACTTCAATGTCAGGAAGAATTACTTTGGGGACACCTTTTAAAAAAGTTTGAGTTCAAAACAACTGGGAAAAGAAAAAAAAAAAAGCAGTAAAGAGCAGCATCCTGGTGACTCTGACTCTTTCTTTACAATCTTCAGAAGCCTAGAAGAATACACAGTCCCAAGCCCATTAAATTTCACACCCTAGCAAAGCACTCTGAAATCTGATTGTTAAATGTTAAGTTGCTTGAAATTACTCATTAGTTTGGGTATCACAGAAGCTCTCCGTAGGTACAGGTTCTGATCTTTACTTTGAGTACTTTTTAAGGAAACACATGTAGCATATTAACACAATGTTAAACTTTCAAATTCAAATTAAGACTTAAAAAATAGTCAACTGTCTTTAATTCATAATTCTCTGATTCGGGCAAGAGTTTGGATTAAGGTTACGTTAGGATGGTTTTCCAACCTACTGATCTCTTTCTCTCTCCTGATCGCCACTCAGGAGAGTCACAATAAAAAGCACTAAAAACAATTATTGATTTTCCCCAATAGATAACATTGAATTTCCTAAGGGATAAAGCCTTTCCACAGAAATTGGTCAGGCAGGGCAAGGAACTCGAGGCTGTAAGTGCCAGTGATTTGTTCAATTTCTTCTTTTAGTGAACAGATTTTAGAATAAAGCTGAAATGAGGAAGCATTTTTTTTTTCTGTTACATGAGGCATGTGATCCTAGCCACTGGGCTTACTTTGCCAGAGAAAGCTCTTTATCTCTCCCCTTGTAGATCAGATACCTTTGGAAGCATTCAAGCTCTAGAGATAATCAAGAGGTAGGCAATGGTTATCAGACAGAGAGGTCTTCAGCTCTTCAGACACACCAGCACCTCTCTACCCTAAGCACACTAGTGTGTTCCCTCCCACTAGGGCTACCCACCTACAATTTAGTCAGACATGCACCAGAAGTTTAGACAGACTGGATGAGGGTGCACCCAGAATGAGGACAGGAATTCTTGAACACAGACAAGCTTTTACCCCAACCTTGATGTTGAATCCTGAGAAATTCAGAGGTTAAATTATTTCTGTTGTTTACATGTGCAAGTCATTAAGACCAGCTTAGGAGTCTGACTGCAGTACAAGCTGACTTCTGTTGCTTGCATTCATAGAAGTACTTAACCATCCTCATAGGCTAAACTGGGAGCTTGAGTTTCTCCTTCACAGCCACAGATAGAACTGCCTGGCAAGGCTGACTAAAGATGAGTTCTGGATGTTGCAATTGTGAAGTCCCCTTTCCGAATATACCCATCAGCTTCACCTTACATGTGGGAGGTTCTGAAATAAACTTCCCTAGGGTTTTGTTGTACTTGCCTCTAAGTTCTAACAGTGCTTTCTATAGTTCTGTCATTGGCCTTTAAATTTGGCTCTTCGAAGTTCTGGCAGTTCTGGAGAGTAAAAATAAAAGAGGAATCCAATGATGTGCTGTGCTATGTCCCATTCTAAAAGGGGAAACACTGTCTCGAGCTAGGTAGTTGCTAAAAACCTGTAATAAAGACCTCAAATGAGACAAGGAACATAACCATGACAGGCAAGGCAGTAAGTACTGTTTCATATTGCTCACACAATGAGACTTTCTGAGAAGGGATATTGTACTTAAAAGTATACTAATCTGTGAATTATGGAGTGAATCACTGAACTACACGTTTCACATTTCAGTCACTTGTCACACACTTTGTTTGTGTAACCCACCGGTCAAAAAAACGTGTTATACAACACATCTGTGTCCAATACACAGAGGGTATGCTTTTGTGATAGCTTTCAACTGGCAGTTCTGTTTCTTTCACACTAGTTGCTACGATTCATACATTCACTCTGGATGTCATTGCTTCGAGCTCCAAAGTGGCAACTGATGGGCTTGCAAGCATCCCCGCAGAATCACAGAATAACGAGGTTGGAAAGGCTCTACAAAATCATCTAGTCCAACTGTAAACCACAGCTAAGGTCTGTTACCAGAAAGCTTTCAGGCATACTGAAGGTTTAGGGAGAGATTACAATGTAGATGTGCTGTTTCAATGCAAACATGCATCCTCCAACCATGCTTGCTCTCTCAGTCCGATTTTGAGATTCCCATCAGAAATAAATATTTCCATCAGAAGTGTCTGTTGAGCAGTGAAAAGCTAGAAGAACATGTCCTTTACGGAGTTTCCCCAGCTGTCAGGTTAAGTCTTAACTGCCAGAGAATTCTTCTTGATGCACTTTTTTTGGTTAGACTTTCACAGGGTGATAAAGTTTTAGGTAAATTATGTGCTGAGAGACATCATAGCTGTTAAAAAAAGATCAACAAACTGAGGACTAGCTTTAGTATCATATGAAAAGTCATCTTTTAATTCCAGTGAATTATCTCATGAAACACTTTCCATTGAGCAAACATGGGAGAAATATCAACTGAATTGGTTTTGGTGACAAATTAGCATTTGAATGCACATATGCTTGTACAGATAGCTGCAATGCCACTGTAATGTTACATCTGCAGTGCAAGGTCCATACCACTGGAGTATATGTTTACTAATCTTTGTTGGAAGGGTTTGTGAACATATGGAGGGGTACAGGATATCACAGCAACATAAACAAAATACACATCTTTGTCTAAGCAGATCCTAGGATTCTCAGGCAGCCTCACTGGGTCAGTTCAAACTACTTAAACCGTAAAATGGAGTGAGCTCCATTTTGCCTATGCAGGCATGAGCTTTCTAACTGGCTAAGCAGTGGTAGCAACAATCTTCAGATGACAGATGATTACTGGGAGACAGTCTCACTTAAAGGGCCAACTATTTTGCCTAAACAGAGAAAGAAGGAAGCATAGTCACAGTTTTAAATAGTTCACAGCCCCAAAACAGCAGCTTTCATGCTAGTTTGGGACACTGAGAAGCAGAATATAAACTTGTCTCTGCCTGTATCTGCATTAGGGTGGATGTGCCATTTAAACATTCGGCAAGTTGTAGAGAAGGTCTTAACAATGTATATAATACAGCAGTTCTGACTAAATTCAAATCTGATGACTTCAAGTCATTTCTCTTAATATGCAGTGAGTGGGTCTCTGCCTTTAGAATTCTGTTCTTTAAAGTCCTCTTTACAACAGTTCAGAGTGCCTACTGCACCATACTGCTATTTAAGCATCAGGCTCAGCAGCATCCATCTGCTTTTGCATGTGGTACTTCTTTCAGTGATAGGCATCTACAATGTGTTTTCTGATCCATGTGCAGAATCGCTGCAGTTCATCTCCAGTATGGCCCCATTCAAAAAGTACTTAACACATACTCCAAGATCCATTCTAACAGTGCTAAAAACAGATGTTGGAAAACATCCTTCAGCAGCACTACTAACTAATTTGGAGGTTAATATTACAGCACAGCCTGTCCAAGCTCAGAGTCTGAAATAGCACCTAATAAATAACTTCTCTGCAAGTTTGAGCAGCTATGAAGCTATTTTGCTTTTGCAGCCCTTAAAAGCAGAAGGGGCTCTAAAAGGAAAGCAAAAAAACTGATAGGAAGTGTAAAATAAGGCCTCATCCTTCATCACATGTACAATATTTGACAGGGTTTTAAAGGAGATAATGAGTTTCAAGCCTTTCAGCAATCTAAGCTTGCAAAACATTCACTGTCAATATGAGATCTTTAAAAAGCCCACAGTCTCATTGTCACTTCCTGACAGGTACTGAGCTGTGCTGAGATTCATGAGACATTGCCCTGCAGCTATTTTGTAGAATGCATCCAAGAGAAGCACTCACTGAGCTTTTTACATAAGGATATACGTGGGTGAACGATGGCTTGTCTTCCAGGACCGCTCAAATGTTCCAATCTTTCTAAAGACTTGTACAGTTTTGATTATCACTAAATTCCTGATAGCAGTTCCTGAAGACCTTCTAAAGTTCAGCTTTGGCTAGTATCAGTTTACTTTCCAGAGAAAGCAGAAAGCTCTTTCCTTCTGTCCCGTGTTAACTTCCTAATTCCCCAAAGAGAGAGCAGGGAATTCAATTCATCACCTTTGTCAAATAGCCAATTTTAACAGGAAACCAATATTGCCAGTGGACAATAAATGCTTCGTGTTTCTCAGTTTGCTTTACTGACTCCCCATAAATTCTTGTTGTGACAGTCAGCCTTCTTCATTACCCATCTTTAAACCTGACTTCACTTGACAGAAATGTGTTTCTCCCTTTCTTAAAAATGGCAAGATCAGCATCAGTAACTTGAGGGGTGCATAAACTGTAATTCAGAAGCAATAACCCAGGTCCGTCATAAAAAAAAAAAATTAAACTATGAGATTTTGAAATCATAACATATACCCATTTTTTCTGGCTTCTAACTTTTTTTTTTTTTTTAAATCAATTGCA